CGTGTAAATCACACTCTATAACTGGAGTATGGGCATTTTGTACATAACACTAAGTGAAATCAAAGTAATGTTAGTGAGTCGTGCAGCGGATCGGTGAGCTATTTATCAACCAACGTTAATATTCCTAGTCAACCCAGCAAAACAACCAACTGGTAGCGCGGCGGATTGGAGCGTTGTAAATCTAATCACCATGTTGCGAATTCAAGTCTGCGTTGCAACGTGGCTGCCTGATGATGGCCAATGCACCAGAAATGCCCACTTCAGTCTCCCTTGTCCTTGTTGTCAACTGTTTCAGATTAATACATATCAAGGTTAAAACACAAGGAATGTACGGCCATTCAGGGTACGGTATATTTGACAGTGTTACCTAATGATTAATGTATGGTGCTACATATCAGGTTAAGGCTAGGAAAACTGTTAAAAGGGGGGCGCGTAAAGAAATAGCAGAGAATGCAGTTGCATTGAAGCTTCTGCCAAACCTGTACAAAGGTCCTCCGCATTGTTTACCTATATGCAAGAATATTGCTTTCGAAGGAATCCGCAGACTGAATTCCATTCATATGAACGAAGGCAGTTGTATTGTAAATCTTAGTCTCAGGCGAAAACACTGTAGTGGACTTTCGAAATTGAAGCTTATGGTAAGCAAACACGTATGTAGATACATCATTAAGCGGTGGAAAATAAAACACACAGAGTCCTGACTCGCAATCCCTTATGCGAAAAACGCATCATGCGCTAAAGTAAGAATCCTAAAACGACCCGGAGTCAGCCACCAGACAGCAAATACTGAGGCCAAGGGATCCGCTACCATTTAGAGAAAAATCAGCAGTGGTCAAGGGCAACGTATGGTGGTGAAACGGGCAAACGTCTTGGCGCGAGATTGTATAAGCACCAGCTCATAACCAGCGGGGAGGGTAATCTTTCTATGGTCTAAGGCAACGTACAACAAAAGAAGCACATTTTTCGCTCTTGATGAAGCAAGGCTAATAAGCCGAACCAATGACAAGATTGCCAGACTGCTGCTGGAAAGTTGGTTCTCGATTTGCACACTTTCCAGAGCTATATACCTGCATCCCGCCTACCAGGTGCTACGCATACCGCTTGACTCAGTTCGAGTAAACCTAACAGGACAGCTAAGCAAACACACGTGTA